GCCGAGCACTAGAAGCGGAAGGCGCATCTCTCCATATCTCCCGATATCTCCGCATATCTCTCCCCATACCTCCCCATACCTCGTGCCCTAGCAGCGGAACATCTCCCCGTATCTCCCCATATCTCCCCATATCTCCCCATATCTCCCCGTATCTCTCCCCATACCTCGTGCCCTAGCAGCAGGACACGTGCACGTGTGTATACGCGCTCTAGTTCTCCCCACCAGCGCTCGAGCGAGGCGACACGCACTCCGCTGCGTTCACGGCGTCTTGCCGCCCCGAGGCCTGCGCAGTCGCCACGCACACACTGCCTCGAGATCTGACGAGATCTGACGAGATCTGGCGAGATCTGGCGAGATCTGACGAGATCTGACGAGATCTGACGAGATCTGACGAGATCTGGCGAGATCTGGCGAGATCTGGCGAGATCTGACGAGAGCATGTGGAAGCCGTGTGAGCCCCACCCACCCCTCCGCCTCCAGTGGCAAGGCCCCACGGGATGGTAGCAAACCCCAGTGTGGACGCGCGAGGCGCCGTATGCGGCGGGCCCTTCTAGCGCGCCAGTGTGTGCCCTTGCTTGTGATGCGTGGATGTGTGAGAGCCGGAGACACACTAGTGGCAGGCTTCGAGCCGTACGGGGTGCACTCTCGGGTAACCTCGCGTAATCTCGGGTCATCTCAGGCTCCGAGCCGTACGGGGTGCACTCTCGGGTAACCTCGCGTAATCTCGGGTCATCTCAGGCTTCGAGCCGTACGGGGAGCACTCTCGGGTAACCTCGCGTAATCTCGGGTCATCTCAGGCTTCGAGCCGTACGGGGTGCACTCTGGGGTAACCTCGCGTAATCTCGGGTCATCTCAGGCTTCGAGCCGTATGGGGTGCACTCTCGGGTAACCTCGCGTAATCTCGGGTCATCTCAGGCTTCGAGCCGTACGGGGTGCACTCTCGGGTAACCTCGCGTAATCTCGGGTCATCTCAGGCTTCGAGCCGTATGGGGTGCACTCTCGGGTAACCTCGCGTAATCTCGGGTCATCTCAGGCTTCGAGCCGTACGGGGTGCACTCTCGGGTAACCTCGCGTAATCTCGGGTCATCTCAGGCTTCGAGCCGTACGGGGTGCACTCTCGGGTAACCTCGCGTAATCTCGGGTCATCTCAGGCTCCGAGCCGTACGGGGTGCACTCTCGGGTAACCTCGCGTAATCTCGGGTCATCTCAGGCTTCGAGCCGTACGGGGTGCACTCTCGGGTAACCTCGCGTAATCTCGGGTCATCTCAGGCTTCGAGCCGTACGGGGTGCACTCTCGGGTAACCTCGCGTAATCTCGGGTCATCTCAGGCTTCGAGCCGTACGGGGAGCACTCTCGGGTAACCTCGCGTAATCTCGGGTCATCTCAGGCTTCGAGCCG